TTGAATTAGCCATTAAGGCGCAAAATGTGCTGCATTAATAACTGACACCGGAGGCTTGATTTGATTCGCAACAGAGTGGGACCGAGCGGCCTAAGCAGGGCCCACTGTACCGCTTATGTCCATGCGCTATGTCAATGTCAGCGGAGGACAAAAGTGGTGGTGGACGGCCAGAAGCCCAAGATCTCTGTAGTTGCGCCTGCGCAGGCTCCTCCTAATTGAAAGAAATTACTTTGAGTCGACGATGTCATTTGTCACCTTTTTGTGTTCCTCTCTTTTTTTTGGCTTTGATCTTTTGATGCAAATCATTAAAACCAGTCTCGAAGCGAGCGACAAACCAGAATGTACAATTATGGGGGTGTAGAATTGCAATGTTTTGGAATTGTAAATAAATTATACATTTTTAAAATCTGTTTTTATGCTTTATGTAGCATTTAATCAAATTGAAAATAAGGTTACAAGGTATGACATATTTTTCTAATTTCGAGAATAAATACATTTTCAAAATATTCCTTGTTCCCTTTAGGTGTTCGTTCTCGCTCATAACCAATTAACACAAGTCAATCCTGTCCCCCTCTGGAATTCGGATCTGAAACTATCAAACTGTCATCGCTCAAGTGTGACAAATCAAATGTCACTAGAGCTTGAATCAGCAAAAAAAACATTAAGCAGGATTGGACGTTGATTTCAAACGGTGTTGACACAAACATCAGCGGCAACAACCGGATCTTTGTGGTCGCTCAACTCGGCCAGAATCGGTTGCCAACGGTCAACAGCCACAATGCAAATGGCTCAGATTTGCCTTTGGACCACAAATCGGGGAGACTGGGAGGGGAGAGGGACAGGACACCTGGCCAGCCAGATGGGTGTCGACTGAAGGACTCACGACGAGACAATGTCGCACCGCCTGACATGCGGCCATAATGCGGCTCTCCAGCTAAACGGCAAACAAAAACAAACACAAACATACACAAACAAATACAAAAAACATATCTAAAACTGTAGCTGACAGCAACAAGGATACCAACGACAGCAACAGTCGTATTTGCAGCAATAAACTTAAAGTTGACAATTGCAAAAAGTCAGTGAGCGAATGAGAGAGGGACTGTCCCGAAGTGATACATGCCAGCAGTGATATGTTTAGTACTTATTGTAAATACAATTAAATTTAAATCACAATTAAATTATTTACAATTTAAAATCAAATATCCTCTAAATTTTGTCATTATTTGATAGTTTTGTGAAAAGCAATATGTATTTAAAAACTTCCTTCAATCTATTTATTTATTTTCCAGCTTAAGAAAACCAAAACAAATACCAAGTGACATATGTATATATGACTAAAGATTCTTATTCAAGTACTGTTTAGGCTGTGCAACCTGTACGTTAGCTGACAAAAATATATGGCACCTTTTTCCTTACTGACTCCCAGCAGCAACAACAGCCATAAAAGAACCAAGAACGGCAATCATGAAATCAACTACTATGAAATTCATCACCTCTCTGTGAACAGCCTCGTCCGTCGGCACTTCCGAGCTTGGATGAGTGTATAAAGTCTCGACTGGATTTGGAGCAGCAGGAACAACTCCAAAAGCAACCAGCAACCAGCAACGAGCAACAAGCACGGCAGCAACACTCAAGGCTGACAGACGACACAGCAGCGGCATCATCATCACTCAGGGACCGACCAGCCAGCAGAACGGTGACGGGTAAGTGAAATTAATTGCATTGTTTTTGGCCAATGAATTCCTAGTTGCCAGTTTTTGTTTTCGGCTTAAATGCCTTGCCGCCTTTTTGTCAAAACACCAACAGCAGCAACAGCAGCAACAGCGGCATCAGCCACCAAACAAACAGGAACAACGACAGCCACATCAGGAGCAGAGGGCATCATCACACAGTGGCCACATCGCTCTGTTCCTCTGTTCGGGAAATCCATCCAGAACACCAACCCAAGCCCCAATTACCATCCCTCGCCCTGTGACATTTTGCAGTTCATCACATGTGATTGCCGCAGTATGTTGCACAAAACATTCAGGCAGCACAGTGGTCCAAGAGGGTCAAGTGTGTGTAAATACAAGAGAAATAGTGCTCTAGCTAAATTTTATAGAGATAAATGTACTTAAATTCTCAACATCTTAACATAGCTTTTCTCAATTTGATTATTTCTCATAGTAACTTGGAAATACTAAAGTTTGTCAAATTACTATTGATGCAATGTGCGCGAGTTTTGATGTTTTTGGAGATGCCCCTGCTCCTTTCATGGCAAACTCCCCCGTCATCTCTGGCAACTCCACTGTCGTTCTCATCGCTTTATCGCGCCTAGGCCCCAGTTTCAGTGCCACATCCATTCCGGGTACCGAGTCCTGGCTCCATGTCACCCCCCATGCCTCCACCTCCCTGGAGGTGGCTCTTGCTCTAGTTAGTTACCATCATCAACATGTTGACATGTCTATGACTGCATGCATGTGTCTGTGCTGACACACTGTTTGTGACAGTGTGTGTGTGGGTGTGTGTGTGTGTGTTTGTGTGTGTGCGTAGCAATGCGCTAACCAAGCTCAACAGCGTTTATCACTCATGCTTATGGTCTTGTTTTTGCGGTGATATATCACACTTGACACTCATTCATTCAGTTTTGGAGTTTAGTGTTCTGGGCTCGTTATGTGCCACTTCCACCTACCACATGGCCACCGGAGCCTCCACACTGTGCCTCCGTGCCACCATTTGAATTTCGAAGGAAGAAATTGCCAGGACAACTTATACATTCCATTCTCGAAATTGCTCCTCATTGTTTTTTTTTTTTTTTGGTCAAAGACAATTGCTTAGTTAACGGTCACAAAATTATCGCAAGGGTTTCATACCTTTATCCTTTATACCTAATCCTTAGAAGGATATCTTAGCTATTTAGGTAAATGTATTGATGTAAGCTAATTAAAATGTTTCCGAAATTTATTTTAAAACCATACTTTTTTGTAAGGACAAAATTCTTTTTTATTCATCCTTTCTCCATATTCAATACTCAATATTCTAGAATGCAATTTTAAAATGTTTTTGATATTTTAAGGGAATTGATCTAAACTCAAAAGCAATAGTTAAGCAGCTGATTCTAGGATATTGGATCAAACTTAGATCTTTAGAAAATATTGGGAGCAAAGGAAAAATTAATCTAGTATACGCATCCCTTGTTAATATTAATACAACAACAATACAGTTTATATAGTCATAGCTTTATACATTTTATAGAACTAGCAATAATTTCACGACCGGGTATTTTATTGTCGAGACACACTACCATTTCGCTCATATTTTTGTTTATCTTATTATTGTTTCCTGAGTTGGTTTTGTTTGGTTTTCAATGGCTCCACAAATGTTTATGCAGATGAATTGTATTTTGAGTTGTGTTTTCGTCTGGTTCGATGCTGCTAGACAGTTGCAGCGGAGTTGTTGGATGGGCAGAAGGGAAATGCCACATCCACAAAGGACTCCCAGTCCTTCGTCATTTGATGAATGGTGACGTATGTTTGCTAAGCTTGAATTTACAATGTTTCTGTTAGCTGTGGCTTGATATTCCAAGCGATATTACCGTGGCTTTGTAATGGGAAATACATAGTTGAAAAATGATTAAGAAACTTTTTGGAACCGAAATCGGAGATCTAACTTGACTTACCCCCTCTTCTTTGAACTCCAGTAGAGATTGGAATATTAAATCTATATTCTTACCTAAAATTAAGTTTAATTGTATTCAGTATCTAAAGCGATGCTTTAATGCTTTACATTAGAATATACTACAATAAAAGACAAGGCACTCTTGTTGCTTAAACTGCACCTCAACCTTTCTCGACCTTCAGCATGGAGTAAATTAATTGAAATCTCCAGGAGTATGTAGAAACAACACCCGAGGCTGTAAAACTGTTCAAAAAATCGGGCGAGCACTTCTGACAGATACCTTTAACACACAAAACTCGCAAAAACATTTGCAGAAATCATAATTCGTGGATGTTCAAACTGTTGGATAGATTTCATTTAACTTTTGATTCCACCACAGGGCCAGCAGCAGCTACATAGGTATGTAGCTGCCATTCAGGCCAATTCCCATATGGTTATTTCTGCAGAAGGCATTTGAGAGCTGTATAAAATGTTGCTCTGTCTAAATTTAAGGGCAAATGGTCTGGCGCCTGCATTTTTATGGCATTTTTCGGCGACGCCATTGTCGTCTGGTTGCGTCAGTCAACGCGAAGAAAGGTGTCAGGAATTTTTTTGCATTCCCCATTTTTTGACAGATGGACACGGCCAGTGTGGGGCTGAAAGTGATTCCGTGGAGTCCCGAGGAAGTTGCAGCTTGTGATAAAAATCGTGTGTCAATTCGGTTTTGTGTCGTTAACCGCTGCCTAAACAACAACAGCAACAGCGGATGTGGGAAGCGGTTTTCCAGGCTCGAAAATTTTTCTGTTGCAATAGAAAAACGGACGCGTTACATGACATTTGTGGCAGCGAATTGGCAGCTTCCACCAGCTGCCTGCTGGATGCAATTGCAGGAACCTGACTGACGTCCAGCAATTTTCCAAGGAGTGGGTCGAGGAGGGGCTCGGAGTAGAAGTCGCAGTGGAATGATTGAGATTGCCTTTCGAGCGGGGGAAAATCAATGCTACATTCGGTGGAATGGAATGGCGGGCTATCTGATCAGCAAATAAAGGCTACTTTAATAAATGTATTAAGAAGAATAAGCAGGAATGCATCTTGGATTATTTTGAAATCATTAGAAGAGCCATAAAAGTCTGGTTTCTGAGTGTGATCGTAGCAAAATGATCACTGACAAGATTAAGAACTGGAGTTCTCGAGTTTAAGAGAACCTTTCTCTATGAGGAAACAATATGTATCTTATATGAGTGACTTATTCTAAGTAATCCCAGATTTTAGAGACCACAAGATCCATGAAGACTCGTGAAAGGTTTCACGATTAATTTCTCAACTAGCTTTACAATATTTTTCTATCAACTCAGTGACGATTGTTTTAGATGTCTGTAAAATGCAAATTTTAAGTGAACCTCTTCCAGTTTTAAATTCAGATCAACTCGAAACTCGCATTTTGCGCCAGAGGGCTTGGGACGACTGGTTCGAGGAGCACCATCGACAAAATGGACGCTGTTGGCGCATCATTGATATCATCAAGTTACTCGTTCTGTTGGCAGTGTGGATCTACCTGACTTTCGTCTTGGTGAGCTACAGTACTGAGTCGAAGGTAACCAAAACTGTCGTCACTGCGGTGCCAACGGAGATTGTTTTAAGTAAGGTGAACCTGCTCCACGACTCCGTAAAGATCACTCTCCGCGGACCCATAGACGTCTATCTCACGAGGAATCCCAAAAAGGCAGAGTCCTTCGGGGCGGGTGTGCGCGTTGAGTACCGCGACTCCAGCTTAAATACGACGTATCGGCGCACGGACATGTGGAATATTGCCCTGAACCTGAAAGCCAAGTATAATAAGGCGTCAAAGTTCTTCCAGATTCCTGCTCCCGATACAGCAGACATCCAGGCCGTGGTCTCGTTGGAGGGCAAGAGTGACGCTCCCGTGGGCCTGCTGATGGAAATGGAGGGAAGAACGATGTCCGATATGATTGTGCTCTATGCCGGCTTATTGATAATCCTGCTATATTTGGTGATAATCACCGACGTCATAGATCGAACGCTTGTCGCGCTCCTTATTGGTGCCATCGGTATAGCTGCCTTGGCCATCCTCCATGACCGGCTCAACATGATGACGATCGTGTCCTTCATTAATTTCGAGACCCTGATGCTGCTCTTCGGGCACATGGCAATCGTGGACCTGATGGCGAACACTGGCGTCTTCGACTACCTGGTAGTTCTGGCCTACCAAATATCCATGGGTCGGCCCTGGGCGATCGTATTCTTTCTGAGCCTGCTGACCGCCTTTCTCTCGGCCTTCCTGAACAGCGATAACATTGCCCTAGTACTGACCCCGGTGATAATCCGGCTGTGTGAGACGGCGGCCCTGCAGACGCAGTTCGTGCTGATCATAATGGCCATCTATGGCAATCTGGGTGGTGCTCTGACCCCGTTGGGCAATCCCACGAATGCAATCGTCAGCAACCATCCGGTTGCCGTGGCTAATGGTGTGAATTTTGTCAATTATACTGCTCGTATGCTGCCCGGTGTGCTCGTCTCCATGATGGTGGTCTTTCCGTTACTATATTTGGTCCTGCGAAAGAGGATGCTTCGGCCAGACCAACATCAGCTGGATGTGATGGAGCAGAGGGAGCATAAGTTGATCTCACTGCCCGATGATGTCTTGGCCCGAATAGCTCAGCGCCAGGCGAGGCAGCCGAGGAAGTGGTGGCTCAAGCCTGGCACCAACTACTACGAGACCTTGGAGAGGCTTAAGGACAGATATCCGATACGGGACAAGCCGCTCCTCATCAAATGCTGCATCGCCCTGACCTTCGCCTACCTGTGCATGATCCTGCACTCGATTCGCGGAGTGGCCGAAGGTGCCACGTTGGGCTGGGTGATCCTGGCGGCCGCCTTCCTGCTAATTATCCTGGACAACAAGAGCCACCTGGATGGCACCCTGGCGATTATACAGTGGACGATCCTGCTCTTTATCGCAGGCCTCTTTATTTTAACGGAAACGGTGGCACGGCTGGGACTTTTCAAGTGGCTAGGAGGAAGAGCCGCACGAGCTTTGTCGGCACAAGAATCGCCGTATCAGAGCAAGGTGGTCATTCTACTGCTTATTTGGGCAACCGCCGGCCTCTCGATCTTTATTGACAACTTGGTCGTTACCAACTTCATGCTGGGCTTTTGCTTTGAGGTGACAGACAGAAATGATCTTCCGGTGCAGCCAATGGTCTGGGCCATAACATTCGGCTCCTGTTTCGGTAGCAATGGATCCTTACTGGCAGCCTGGTCTAATGTAATCATCGCTTGGACTGCCCGCAAGTTCGGCTACAAGATCAGCTTTTGGCGATTCTTCGTCATCGGATTTCCCATCATGCTCGTCACCTTGGTCATATGCACAGCCTATCTCCTGATTGACCAAGCTGTTACACTGGCATTGAAACCTTTGCCCTCAGATGTAAAAATATTATACGATTTCCTTCCTGACGAATAAATTTCTATTCATTAATTATGAGAAATATTTTCTTTGAAATCGATAAAATTCACATACATACATGCAAACATCTAACTGAAATCGGATTGACAGGCGCTCGAATATCGCGACCCCTGACAATTGTGGCCAAAATGCAGCGCCAGCTACTGTCAGTCATCAAAACGTGGACACGTTCCACGTGTTCTTCTGTGTTTTCGCTTTTTTTATTATTTCCTATTTTGCTGGAAAATGACAGCGGAATGTTTTTGAATCTACAAGGTCAGTGTTTGAATCCCCTTTAAAATATGAAAATGTGTGCATTACACTATGGAACAAGAATGGAAGCTAATTTTGGCATTACAAAGTCCGAATACCCTTGCATACATAAAATTAAAACGATTAAAGAAAATAGCATTTCAAGAGCAATAATAACTTTATTTTAAACCTTTAACTAAGAATTTAAAGGAACTTTATGTTTTTCAATTAGCAGTATACAGACGAATATCTTATAAATGAAGTCTTATTTAGTCTGCGTAATTTTTTTTAGTTGACCTTGCAAATCCTAACAATTAAAAGTCAGTTAAAAATATTATTTTAAAACTAACAAAAAGTAAAAGTACACAAACTTACTAACATATAAATATTTATTATATTTACAGTCCAACATTAACAGTTTTACATTAACATTTTGCCTTTTCCTCTACATTTAAAGAACGTTTCTTGGGAAGTTATATTAAATAGTCGTTTTAGAATTTAGTTTTTCACGTCTAGAAGTAAGCACTTAAAGTGTCATTTCCACGACTTTTTCCTTATTCCATTGTTTCAATATGATATAAAAACAAGAAAAGAAGCAAACTTCGGCACGCCGAAGTTTATATACCCTTGCAGATAGAACTTCGATGACTAGGAATCCATACAATATTAATTATATATACTTATGTTATAAAACAATGAAGTAATACCTGATTTCATTTCATTCACCTATACATATTATATTTGCAGTTCTACATTCACAGATTTGCATTTTGCTCTACATCAAACGATCGTTTCTATGGCACCTATATAATATAGTCGTCCGATTTTTATAAAATTTGACACAAAATTTAAGACTCATATAAAAAATGGCTATACCTCAAATTAAATAAAAATTTGTTGAAAATTAAAAATATTATTATTATTAAATGTATTAATTTCTCGATAGTTCCTATGGGAGCTATATGATATAGTAGTCTGATATTAATAAAATTTTACACAAAATTGTAGAATATAATAAAAAGACTATGTCTCAAATTTGATCAAATTATGCTGAAAACTGAAAATATTATAATTTTTTTTGTAAAAATTTTCCGATCATTCCTATGGTAGCTATATGATATAGTCATCCGATCTGGCCCGTTCCGATTTATATACGAGTGAGAGTATATAGAAGGCTAACTACAAAGTTTCATTCAGATAGCTTCAAAACTGAGAGACTAGTTTGCGTAGAAACGGACAGACGGACAGACGGACTCGGCTGTTGATCCTGATCAAGAATACTTTATATAGTCGGAGGTGCCTCCTTCACTGCGTTGCAATCTTCTGACTGAAATTATAATACCCTGCAAGGGTATAAAAACAAAATCGTTGTTAATTAAATGGGCAGCTAGCGTGCAAAGGAACAAGAGGAGAAGAACAATAGGATAAAAATTTGGCACTTAAAAACCAATAATATATTACCATCAAAGCCATTAACTTAAACATTGTGATTCATTTTCTTATTAGCAATTTAATGACAATTTGTCCTCGCCGTAATAGATCGGAATAGATCTGAATCAAAACATATGGAAACAACTTTTACAAACTTTCATTCAAAACATTAAACCAAACCAATTATTTTATTATTTTTTTCTTGTTTCCAATAACTATGCCGCAACTAATAGGCCGGAAGTTGGAAAAAATGAAAATAAAATTGGTTTTTAAAGATTATATTAAAGGAAGAGAAAAAATCAACTTCTTTAAATTTATAGATATGTAAATATAGGGAAGATTGATAGTGAACCTTTAAAAAGACTAGAAAGTAGACAAAGATTTGAGACACATAAAAGAATTATACAGATAAAACCATACCATTTATATGTACATTATTTGTATTAAGTTTTGACATTGACATTGACATTAATAAGATTGAATTATTTAGATTTTCACAAATTTCCAGCGGCCCAAAAGAGTTATGAAATAAGGAAAAGTCTAAAGTCAAATAAACTTTTTTGATCTTCTCCGAGAAGACTTTCAAATCAGAAAAAAAGGAAGTAGACTGTAAAAATGATGATTTGTTTCCAAAGGATCAATAAGAAGGCACCAACACATTATTATTTTTTGTTCTTTTTTTTTTAACTAGTCTTAGAAAAATATTTTAGACACATGTGCATATCTATTTACATACATATGTACATAGACATGTATGATGATTAGCGTTACAAATTTTCAACAATTTTACAGATTTCTGTGTGTATTCCTGTATCTTTTTTCTTCATCTTTTTTTCCCCTCAGACAAGTTTTAAACGCTGGGGACAAAGCACAAAACTAATAAAGATGCGTAATGGCTGTCTGCGCACAAATATTGGAAAATAATTACAGTGGGGGAAAGCGATAAGGACACAAAGGAGAGCTGAAAAAAGTGGAAATGAAAAGAATCAGGAAAAGCAGTTGTAAGCTGGGCCTGTTTAATAAAAAATTAAAAACAAATCGTAAGTAAATCCAGCGGGAATACTTCAAAGTCTTCAATCGTTTTCCTTCATCCTTTTCCAACGCACACAAATCTGCATCTTTGTTCCCATCCTACTCACCCCTCCTCGCATTTTCCGTTATTCCGGCGTGCATGCAACAATTGTTCCCGTGGTCACGCATGCCAGCAAGGGTCGTCGGATGGGAGGGAGGTAGGTGGGTGGATGGTGGCAGCAATAACTTTTTAGGAAGAAAAACGCAGCGCAGAAATTAATGCTCTTGAAGTGATGAAAAGGCTTTAACATCGCCTCTCTCTCTCCGCCGCTCTCTGTCTCTTCGCCCTCTCTTTTTCTGCCTCTCGCCCACACTTTGCTTCATTTTCAATTTCAATAAATAACCTTGATTTAAGCGGCAGCAGCGCTGACGCCGGCAGCGCAGTCGGCGTTTGACCAGAGGAAATACAAACACAAATACCACCCCCTCCCAAAGCACACACACACACACACACAGAGAGACGAAACCGGCCCCCACACACAAACACCTGTCACACATTGCTCTGGCTCTCTGGCTGCAATCCTGGGTCTCTCTCGCTGTCGCTCTCTGTCTTTCGCCCCTTTTCTTGCTCTCCCATTGCAGTTGTTTCATTTCGGTTTCGTTTCAAACTCAGCTTCTCATAAATCAAAACAAAGTTGCACAAAGCCAGAGAGAGAGAAAGAGCGCAGGCGCTGTCTTCGCTCTCGCCCCTGTTGCCTTCGCTCTTTCTGTCTTACTCTCTCTGGCTGCCTCTCTCTCCCTCGCTGCTGCTCTGCCGGCATATATCAATTTAATCGAGAAACTGTCGCTCGTTTGCTCTCGCATGCCGTTTTCTCCCGACGTTTCCAATTGTCAAAAAGATGTTTTACTCTCCCTGTACGATTCCACAAGCAAAATTACTCTCACCGTACTCTCTCTGTAGGAAGCTAAATACAAAATACTCTTTAGTGGCGTTTCCACTGCGTTATAATTCGTTATATTCCTACGTCCACGTTATTCGTCGTCAAATGGTCGTAGGAACGTAACGGAACGAAATCATGTCGCATCATGTTGGATTTTCCGCTGAATTAACGGTGATACGATTGAGCACAGCGCCTAGAATTGCAAAGTGCAAATAGAAAGAAATCAAAAATAGTTCGAGTAAATAAACACAAAAAAAAATCGCAAAGTTCCACACACAAAGCTAAAGTAAATGGGCATAAATCTTGTGGCAAGCCGTCCGTCAGTAAATCATTAAATTAGTAGCCCCACCAACACACTCGCACCCATACATCTGTTGTGTTGTGTGTGTGTGCCCCTGTGCGAAAGAAGAAGACGCTGAAGGAAGTGAAATTGGCGGCAGTTTGACCGCAACAACAACAACAACAAAACCGACAACAAAAACAACTCTTGCAACACACACACACACTCACGCACAAAATTGATTCGCGTTCGTCATCAGTCGTCGGTTTCGGTCCTTCCCGTCCCGCTTCCCTTTCCCCCCTGCCGCCACCCCCCAGAGACCCGTGAACCATTGTGACATTTGATTTATTTGACGTGTGTGTTTTTGATAGAAGCCCAACACGAAACTGACACGCACACACACGCTCCCTCTTAGAGAGACGCCGAGAATATTTGTACAATATTTGGTGAAACGAAAATAAAATCAGTATTTTTTTTGCGCGCATTGTATGTTTTGGAAGTGAACACAAATAATATACAAAACACAAGAACAAATCTCTCGCTATCGATGAGCAGACGGAATTAATTGTTAATCTAAGCGATCCGTTCGGAAAGTGAGACCCGAAAAAATTCAACAAAATGATGCTTCACGAGGCTGTCATGCTGGAAATCTATCGCCAGGCGTTGAGTGCAAGGTGAGTGATTCCCGCTGTCCGCTGTCTGCGTCCCCTTCCAAGTGGAAAAGCTTTATATATTTTTCTTTAAATATGTTAAATGGAATATAAAATGGTTTTAATGTCATATAGTTGGTGTAATTGGAATCTTTATTTGATTTGGTTCATTTGCTGGTGTATTTACTTGTCATTTTTAGGCAGTTTTGTGAGAGTTTTTTGTGAAGCGTATTTTCAAATATAAAGAGTGAAAATTAAAGTGAAATCAGTGTCATTGAATACATAATACTATTATTTTATATTATAAAATAAAAGAAATATCTTTGATACTTTATCACTACTTAAGTCTCAGTATAAAATTAACCTGTGATGAAATATTTCTTTAATGGATTTCTTTAATAAGATTTAATTATAAATGATTTCGAAATGAGTTAGCTTTTTAAATTTTATTTAAATTAGAGTGCAGTTTTGATTTTTAATAACAATCGACCAATAGATTCCTTGACCTTCAATTCATTGCATACCTTCTGGCTGTAGATTAGATAAATTTCAACAGTGAATAAATAGGAGTTAACAATAATTTAATTTAATTTGTTATCTATAGTTTAAAAATGTCAAATGATTGTTTGAAACAATATCAATGAATTTCAATAATTCTAATAAGATAGTTCTGTTGTTTTTAATAATAAGGTATAACAACCATAATGTTTAACAATAAATATGTGAATTTGTCTGTGTGAACAAAAGAAAATTAATCTAACCTTTATTTAGAATTTGACAAACATTGACTTTATTTTTATTTGTTTCTAAAAATTTGTTAGAGGTGACTAAATATATCTTTGTGAGAATAATAAATTAAATGAGTAAAATGTGTTAGAAAAGTGTTTAGTGTTTCCGTATTTTCTAAAAAAAGTGTCGCATTTATAGAATTATTTTAATATTTCAATTGGGAATAGTTTGCACTTGAATATTAACTTATAACTTATACGAGTTTTCGTTTCAATGGTTAAATATTTGTTTTATATATTTCTGACCATGTCTTAGAAGCTTTTTAACGCCGATGTATTCTTTCCCTTCCAGTGAGTTGGCCAGTCCACGCTGCCAGTCCAGGGAGTCCACCGCTTCAGCCGGAGTCGGAGCAGCACCTGGCGATGCGCGTTGTCCCTCCAATGAATCCCACTGTTCGGCAAACGATTGTTTGACTCCGGCTCCGACGCCCACTCCAACGGCCACGTCCACCTCGCCGCACTCGGTGGGCCTCCCGCTGACCGCCACACTTCCCCCGCAGCTGCAGCGGCTCTGCTGCCCCCGCAGTCTGCTGCGATGGCCGCATACCTGGCTGCCGCCCAGCAGAATCACCTGCTCCTCACAAATCCTCTGGCGGCAGCAGCGTCTCTGGTCCAGCAGGCGACTCAACAAGCGGCGGCGGAGGATGGGGAGCCGCCGGCCCTGGATTTCAGCAGAAAGCGTCCGACTAGTGACGGCGAGGAGGAGGAGGAGGAGGAAGAGGAGCAGGAGCAGGAACCAGATCCCGAGACGGATGTTCAGGGTGACAATGGTCCATTGGACCTCTCCGTTAGCACAAGGAAGAGGGAAGGTGACAGGGATTCCCCGCCCCCCAGAAAGATTCCAAGGAGTATCTCCTCTGAATACAAATCGCCTCTGCCACCTGGCAGTTGGGTGCCACCCATCAATCCTTACCTGGCGGCTGTGGCAGCCAAAACCGGTGGATTGGGTGGCTCAAAGATGGTGCCCAACGAGGCCAGCAAGGCGCTGGAGAAAATGACAGAGATGAGCCGCCTGGAAACTTCCCCACCAATAATGAGTAGGAGCTCAGGCATCACATCCTCCCCGGGTTCGGGATCGGGAGCGGCGGCAGGAGGCGGTGGCAGTGGTGGATCCAGCTCTGGTGGTCGTCACAGTGCCTGGCAATCGCATTGGCTAAACAAAGGCGCGGATGCAGCCAAGGATGTGTTTAAGTGTGTGTGGTGCAAGCAGAGCTTCGCTACCTTGGCCAGCCTCACCACCCACATGAAGGAGACGCAGCACTGCGGTGTGCAGATACCCTCGCCGTCGTCGTCATCCGGAGGAGTGAGTGCTTCCGCAGCTCCCCCACCATCCAGAATACCCGCGAATTCCGCCTCAAACTCTGCCTGCTCCAGCAGCAGTAGCTCCACGTCCAGCTCGTCCAACTCCTCAAAGTCTGAGCTAAATATGCTGATCAAGGAAACGATGCCGCTGCCTAGGAAACTGGTTAGAGGTCAGGATGTTTGGCTGGGAAAGGGCGCGGAGCAAACACGTCAGATCCTCAAGTGCATGTGGTGCGGCCAGAGTTTCCGTTCTCTGGCCGAGATGACCAGCCACATGCAGGAGACGCAGCACTACACAAATATTATCTCCCAAGAGCAAATAATATCCTGGAAATCGGGAGATGAGAGAGAAAGACCCTCGAATGGTGCCGGCTCGGCAGCTGGTGTGGCTGCGCCCTCAACTGGTCCTCCTTCCTCTTCGTCCAGTGGAACAGCCGCCTCGGTCAGTGCCGTGCTCACGTGCAAGGTTTGCGATCAAGCTTTTGGGACCCTGAAGGAACTGAGTACGCACATGGCCCAGCAGTCACACTACAAGGAGTCGCCATCGTCTTCCGTTTCACCACCAGCTCCAGGTTCTGGAAACTCGAAAAAGGGCCGGCAAAATCGCAATGAGAAGCGGAAAAAGTCGCTGCCGGTGAGAAAGCTTCTGGAGCTCGAAAGATCGGGCTCAAATTCTAGTCTAGATTCTGCATTGAAACCACTAAGGGATTTCGCAGCCGCCACCAAAATCACCTGCGAGAAGTGCGGCAGTAAAATAGAAACCGCACTTTTCGTGGAGCACATAAGGAAGTGCTTGGGCGAGAGTATACCGATTCCGCCCAGACGATCTAATCAGGGATTGGATCGCCTGCCTAGCCCTAGTTCAGGATTGGGTGGTGAGAAGCCACCTTCAGTTTTGAATGCACTAGAGCAACTTATCGAGAAAAGCTTTGAATCGAGGGGCGGAAGAACGATGACGCCAGGTGGCTATTCCGAAGCAGGGACACCACTGGGAGCTAGTATCCTTAAGCGCTTGGGCATCGATGATAGCAGTGACTATACAAAGCCTCTGATGGACGCCCAGGCAATACACCTGCTGCGTTCCTCCTACGGTTCCAGGGATCGCAGTGCCAGTGAATCTAGCTCGGCCAGCAGAGTGGAATCCTCCTACACGCCGGACAGACAGCAAGCAACGCCACGAAGAACACCGGATACACCAGCGGCGCCACCACCACCGCCGCCGCCTACCATTAAGGCGGAACCTGTGGAGACGGATCCTTCGGTCTGTGAAGATCGGGAGGTTAGTAGTAGTCCTCGGCAGCAGATCCATGTGAAGAAGGAGTTCAGCATGGAGGCTAATCCGGAGAGTCCTGGAACTCAGACTCCAAAGGCTGGAGCAGACAGTGGCAGCTTGTTGGCCTTGAATTCCATGTTCGATCAGCTGAGTGGTGTGGAGACCAACAACAACAATAACAATACGGGTAAGTTGAAGGTTTTAATGATTATTTAATAAGAAACAGAAACTAGGATTAATCGGTATCTTAAATTAAATTTCCTGTCGAAAGATATATATTACTTTGGAAATCAAAACCCATGTGTTATGTGTTTTTAAATATTGCATTGCTTTAGACCTCTTGTTTTATTACTTTAACTTATCTCAAAACCAATTTAAAAATTCCTTTCTTTTCAAAATTAAATTTTAATTGTATTGATTCAATTTTTTACAGGTCACTATAACAACAACAATCCATCGAACAACAATATCTCAACCAAGAAACCAAAGGCCCATCCCCTGGCCGCTCTACAGAAACTCTGCGACACAACGGATCCACCTGCCTCGAACACTCGCAGTGGTACCTCCAGCGGATCGGCATCCGCTTCAGCTGGGATCCCCTCCACCAACGGCAATGACCTTGTGGCCTTCAGTTGGGCCTGCAATGAGGCCGTTTTGAGTGCCAGCAGTGGCGGAGGCTCCGGCGGCGACTCGTCCATCATCAAGTGCTCCTTCTGTGATACGCCGTTCGGGTCGAAGGGCGCCTACCGCCACCACTTGTCCAAGGTGCACTTTGTGAAGGATGCGGGCGAGGAGTCCCCCAGGCTCAAGTCGCCAGCGGCCCAGAGCCCGAAATCAGTGCCAATGGCTTCGCCCAAGAGATCTGCTTCCAGAAGTCCGGCCACGCAGTCTGGCCTGCAGCAGCCTGCTCTATCGCCAACTATCAATCCCTATGACGAGAGTCCGCAGTCCAAGTTCCTCAAGTATACGGAGCTGGCCAAGCAGTTGTCCTCGAAAAATGCCTAGGAATCTCATTAGGAGAAGGGGAAAATCTATGGGGTTCCCCACATACATTTTTGTTGATTAAAAATCATTTGAAAGGGCACACAAAAGTATGCAACACTATGTTGCGCCACCCCGAAAAGGTTAATTCTAGGCCAAATATTGTAAATTTCAAATTCATTGGCATTCTTGATCCCATCTGTTGTAAAGTAATATTTCTTTTGTTTATACATTTCATTAACTAATATTAAATATCAGAATAATTGAAACATAGTTAGATAGCATCATGGAGTGATCTCATTTTAAATACCAAAGTTTTACTATAATTTTATGTTTTATACATTTTAAATATTATGTATTCTTTCGTAGTACCATATCGGAAATCCCCATTACATGTGTATCCGATCTTAAGAGGTACATATTTTGACTGCATATAACTTAAATTGGTAAAAGGATATGATATTTATAATGCCCATTTAAATTCCCAACTCGAAAGCCAGAGGTTCCAAAAAGAGCGCACTCTTTAGTGATCAGCTGAGAGCGCGTTATTGCTCTCCCGCCATTTCCCCAGTCGTTTGCAGGCGCTCTTTCGAGAGAGCAGCTGCACACTCACACTCGAACCAATTTCCCCTGCTTTTGCTGAATTCGCTTTGCAGTTTCCCCGCTCTCTCTCTCTCGCTCTCCGATTTTCCCCTTTGGAAGTGACGTCACTTTGATGCTGGCTCGCTTTTTATTGTTTTCCAATCGGACATCATGCCATCGCAGTCGCTCGTGCGAGCGAGAGAGGAGAACATACATACTCGGCGAGTAAATTCAATTACCACCACTTTGACGAACTGCTGTCCATCAAGGCGCGTCGGACAGAGATGGCAATAGTAACAGGCGGGAGGCGGAGGCGACGACACGAGCTCGTCAAAGTTGGATTGGATAAGGCGAGAGAGGCAAAAACAAAAATAACAACATCGGTCGAGTGGGTGGGTGGAGAGCGCAAAAAAGAGCGAGGGAACGAATGTATATTGAGTGGAACGGGTTTTCGAGTGCAACGAGTGAGTGAAACGTCGTACGAAGCGTGCCAAAAAATAAAAGATTCTTAAATTTAAATTTAACAGACTACATGTAGTTCTAAGCTAATAAATCACTAAACCTAAGCGAATACCACTACAAACAAAGCAACGCAGTATACGTAACAAACCTACACTTGAAGAAAATTGTTAACCTCAGCTCCCGACGAAATATTTAACCGAATGCATTAATTAAAGTGTAAATATCTAGCCAATAGCATTTTCCTTCCATATGTCTACAAAGAATATCAATACACTTACGAAAATATATATATTTAAAAAAGAACTCTAAAATCAAAATGTAGCCGCAGCAACGCATGTATACGATCAAGTTTTAAAAAAGAATGATAAATATATATACATATATTAACTTAAAAACTATTTACACGCCCATGTATACCAACTCTCAACAATAACAACCGAGAATCCTAAATATTTAACCTAAGATTAAATCCTAAGAAAATGGAGAAAACTTTGCAGAATGTATAACATTTTAATATTAACAATAACACGAAAGTATGTATCATCGACGGAAGTAAATAGATGTATAATACTACTGTAACTATGTATACGACTTCTATTTGAGTTTTGTGATATTATTTATAAAACGAGACCGTTCGCTTCCTTTTCGCCACATCTCCAGTAAATGTCCTTTGAAGTAGTACCCTGTAACACACCTCCCACCCCGAGTCCCCTAGACCGTAAGAGTAAGTTATTTAATGCAATAAAGGCTCAGCATTCGAAATACAATCTACATACGTGATTTTCTTCTCTCTACAAAACCAGAAAAAAAAAAACAAACTAATAATACAGACATGCATATATAAGTGGGCTTTGACTAATTGAATATATTGATTCCAAATTCAAAAAAAAAAAAAAACAATAAGAAAGCTAAAGAAGAGTTCAATAAAAACGTTGTAACTATTGAAAATAGTTTGCATTTCTTTTAAATATTATAACTATGGATTTGGGAATCTTTATGGTGTCTCTATGACGATTTGGGAATATTTAATTGTATGTTGTATACAGGGTATTCATAAGGTACAATAGGCTTTCAATTGGCCAGGGAAATTTGGGTTCAGTATACAGGTTAAAAGGGTAACGTAAATAGCCCTCGGTACTGGGTATTTCATAATAGCGACTATTTCTCTTTATGTAACATATTTATTTTGAATGTTATTACTTCCCACGAATATTCTTTGAATAATTTTTCTTGAATAAATAATTTTTTATTAACAATTGGTTGTACATTTTTTTAAATAAAAATGTTTATCATAATATATAAATATAGTTGCAATAATACACTATTATTTTTATACTATTTTTATATTTATTTATTTTTTTTAATTTTTGTTATTAACATAATTTTATTAGGATGAAATATTTTAAGTTCATAAATTAAACCATTTACATATATAGATATAGATTTTTCCTTATAAACAAGATTTAAATTTTAATACGTTTTTTTCGTTACTTGTTTTCTTACTCACATGTATAGTATTAGTATGTTATTTTTTCAGTTTATATAAAGTATGTATTTTAATTATTCATTATTCATGGCTTTTTTTCAACTTCTTTTATTAATTTTAAAACTATTTCTATTCTTTACTATTTGTTTAATAAACATGTACATATTAAAGATTTTCAAGGGCATGATGTTCACAAAATGTTTATTATTATTATGTACAATAGCACTTTTATTTTTTTTGGAAATATCTGAAATGTATTAAAATTTTTGTACGCATAATTTTTCTGTCAAGTGTAATGAGGTACCATTTTGTTCCTTGGTACACTAAAGATTGTATATTCTTCCTTTTATATTTGAATAAATAGAATAAGGAAGGAGTCATATCATATCATTAACAAGATAGGAAGCTAACTTCGGCTCTTCGATGTTTATATACCCTTGCAGATAGAACTTCTATGACTAGGAATCCATACAATATAAATTATATATATTTGTGTTAAAAAACAATGAAGTAATACCTGCTTTCATATCATTCACTTATACATATTATATTTGCAGTTTTACAGTCACAGATTTGCATTTTTGCTCCACATCTAACGATCGTTTGTATGGCACCTATATGATATAGTCGTCCGATTTTCATAAAATTTGACACAAAATGGCTATTCCTAAAATTTGATGAAAATCTGTTGAAAACTGAAAATTGTATAATTTTTAATTGTATTAATTTTTCGTTCCTATGGGAGCTATATGATATAGGAGTCCGATTTTCATAAAATTTTACACAAAATTTAAGAATAATATGAAATGACTATATCTCAAATTTGATTAAATTCTGTTTAAAACTGAAAATGTTATAATTTTTTTTGTAAAAATTTTCCGCTCATTTCTATGGCAGCTATATGATAGTCGTCCGATCCGTTCCGACATATATACGAGTGAGAGTATATAGAAGGCTAACTACAAAGTTTCATTCAGATAGCTTCAAAACTGACAGACTAGTTTGCGTAGAAACGGACAGACGGACAGAAGGATAGACGGACAGACGGACAGACGGACATGGCTAGATCGACTCGGCTACTGATCCTGATCAAGAATATATATACTTTATGTAGTCGGAGGTGCCTCCTTCACTGCGTTGCAAACTTCTGACTGAAATTATAATACCCTGCAAGGGTATAAAAATATTAAAGTGGTTCCAGGATTTCTTACAAAGTTATGTGAACAGAAGAAAATACATATATATGTATATTCTGATTAAACTTATAAAAGTAGCTTATATATACATATATCATATTTAATATGAATGTATGGTACATCTGCAAGACAACTTCTCTTAGCCTGGCTTTTTAATCGCTCCCCAATTTGTGGCAGAGCCATCTGAAATCTCAGTTAATTGTGGAACGATTGGGGCCCGAAAACATGCTATATCAAATTGTAAACTAATATTTGCTAATAAACACGCCGAGTTAATTAAACCTGAATTATGGGCCACATGGTTATGTTATGTAATGGGTGGAAATGGGGCTGTGGGGTGGGTTGGTTAAAAGGACGATGCAGGAACAGGAACATGCGCGAAATGCGAACGCGATTCGCTGATTTATGGCCAACAAAGGATAAAGACAACGACATCCAGATACCGATAGGGACTTCAGGCATACATACTTATATATATATATATATATATATACGTCCCTTTCCGCGCATCGCTCTCCCTTTCTTTCATCCGACGTTGATGACGATCCTACGCCAACCAAAATCTCCTCGAAAACTTCAATTGCCAAAGGATTCATTTTCACTTAAAATTTATGATGTGTGCCCGTTGTAGGCAGAGTGAAAAAGGGAGACGGAGAGGCTGTTGGTACACTGTAAATAATATATAGATTAATAAATAAATAAATGCAGTAATTTAAGTCAAATTTAATATTTATATATAATTGATTATTGAAAATTCAAAATATTTCAGAAAAGGTAGGACTACAGGAGTATATAATAAATTTTAATAAAAAAAATTTAACTGGGATATTAAATTTAAATACTTACAGAATAATAAATAATAATACAGATAAGACACAGTTGTGTAGTATATTTACAACTATTTAAACTATTTCCAGTTTACAGTGACATTTTATGATTTCCAAAAGTTTGTATAAAAGTGTATAAAAAAAACCTCATATATGATATGCCTCGGGGGAGTGAAGTGAAAGGGGGCTGGGTGGGGAGGACATGTGGTGGGTGTCACATTTGTGTTAAGAGATAATTTTCGGAAAATGTTTCAAACAACTTTTGTGGCCCGCCTCAGTTTTCAGTTTTCAGGCTTCATTGATGGCTGCCGCCTTTTTTCGGGAGTGAGTTTCCTAGGGGCAGGGGGCGCCTCTTTCTTGCCTCCAAAAGTTGCGCACGGGACACCTTTGGGCGACCCCCGGCCCCGTCCCGAAAGCCCGCTGCTGCGCCGCTTAATGAGATACAAACACATAAATTCTGAAAAGTGTCATGCATCGCACATAACGGTTTACTTTTTTGCTCTTTGATAAGCCAACGAAACTGCCGACACCGACCCTGTCTTTATGTCTATGTGGGCGAGTGTGTATGGGTGTGAGTGTGGCTAAAGTAAGGACCAAAACCAGGACCTGAGCCCCGGGCCATAGATGAGGAAGGAAAT